ATACAAACATTCCAAAGTAAATGAAAATGTCATTGAAATCACTATAAATAATTAGCTCACAGCATAGAGATTCAAAGCATAGAGCGAAGGAAGAACATAAACCTTGGCGATCTACTGACTGCAGGCTGCATGGCCGACGAAGTAATCAGTTGCAACTGCAAATCCCAATCCTTGTCAAGCGTCGGGCACCTTGACAGAAACTTCATGTAAGTCTCACAATATCAGGCTAAGAAAGAATTAATTGATAAATAATCAAGTACCAAAAAAATTCGTAAACAAAAGAAATAACAATCATATCTAGGACTTTGAGCCACAGCATAGTTACTTATAGTGTAGAACTCATTCCTTGCACATGTGGACTCATAAAGATGAATGTAAACAAACTCATTCCTTGCACCACAATAACAATTTGAAATGATGAACTATCTAGGTCACTTCCAATAAATAGTATTACAGTCAATGGTTTCAGCTTCTGTTGGATATCTTCATACAGAGGTGTGAAGAAATATATTATGTGTTGGAAACTGTTCATACACACTTGTTGTTCTAATTTGAAGTGCTATACCATCGAATATGTAACAGTAGACAAAAATATTCTGTGAATTATATGAAAAATAATAACATGAGGAGAATAAATTATTTCTCTACTTATTGGTGTCTCGCTCACTCAATTGCACTAAACAATATATTAGTTCCCAACATAAAAAATAAGGTTGAGCCAAAGGCCTGATCAGTTAAAAAATTAAAAAGAAGCAATTTTTATGTACATTTACAAAGATCTTTATCTATGTACATCTTCCAAGTCAAGCATCGTACCAAGTCTAATGAAGGCTGAACTATCATCCAGTCTAAAAGATTCTCCTTTTTACTGTCTTGTTTGATCACAATCACAACATCAAAAAGCCAAAACATGAAGTAGTGACATATGCAAACCAAGCAGATAAATCACATTCTTAAAAATTGAGATAGATTTAGAATCCAATTATAACCTTAAATATCCAGTCAAAAAGGGTATTTCTGGGGCGATACGAAACTTCTGGTTGTTACATTATATGTCAGAGCTTATTATGGCCTATATAACTCCCTTTATGTTTTAAAATATTTATTATTGAACTGTTCTTTCAGACTACTCATTCCAATTTCCACACACATTCTTAGTAGCACTTCATTAGGTTGAGAGGTTACTTATAATCCTAACATGAAAAACATTAACTAATGTTGCTTTTAAAAGTGGACATCAGTTCGTCACTAGTTTTCCGCCACCAGTTCATTAAACATAATGACAATATTATACATAATGACAATTGCAAATAAAGTGGAAGACGAGTTTTATTGCTACTAATGATACCAGTTTTCTACTATAAACTGGTTCCAATTTAATCACCAAAATACTATTAATGAGGTATATATTTCTTGTGCATGAATGTTATTTACAGAAAGATTGTGTCACCAAGAAGTGTGATAGGAAGTCCATCTCTTCAATAGTTCAATAAGAGTGTTTAGTTTTCACCAAGTGTCTGTTCAGTTTGGGTATTATGTTGGTTTGGATGTGAATTTGAACATATATTACTGATTTAAATTGGAATGAACTTGTGTTTATCCCATTGTGTTGGTTTGAATACATGTCGTATCAATATGACAATATCTAGCTAATACATGCTTTGTGTTATGAATGTGGGATAGATTTACCATTGCATGCTTTAATTTTTAAACTTATCTCTTATGTGTTTACGTTTTAATTTGTTGGAGAAGTGAAGGGGAAATTTGAAAAAAAATATATACTTTAGTTGATTTTGCGACAGTACTGCGTAGCCTTTTGTATATTTACTGTTTCTAACACGTTCTATGAAACTTGGGGTTATCTAATATTGTATGATATAGATTCGGACAGAGCTTCATTAGCATAACTATCATAAGGGTAAGGAGGTGCTTTATGTTTTGATAGCTGATAAGTTCTAAAGAACACATCTTGAGCTGACTATACAATTGGAAAATTACGAAAACTTAGATCACAATCACAACATCAAAAAGCCAAAACATGAAGTAGTGACATATGCAAACCAAGCAGATAAATCACATTCTTAAAAATTGAGATAGATTTAGAATCCAATTATAACCTTAAATATCCAGTCAAAAAGGGTATTTCTGGGGCGATACGAAACTTCTGGTTGTTACACCTTAAATATCCAGTCAAAAAGGGTATTTCTGGGGCGATACGAAACTTCTGGTTGTTACATTATATGTCTGAGCTTATTATGGCCTATATAACTTCCTTTATGTTTTAAAATATTTATTATTGAACTGTTCTTTCAGACTACTTGTTCTAATTTCCACGCACATTCTTAGTAGCACTTCATTAGGTTGAGAGGTTACTTATAATCCTAACATGAAAAACATTAACTGATGTTGCTTTTAAAAGTGGAGATCAGTTCGTCAACAGTTTGCCGCCACCAGTTCGTTAAACATAATGACAATATTATACATAATGACAATTGCAAATAAAGTGGTAGATGAGTTTTATTGCTACTAATGATACCAGTTTTCTACTATAAACTGGTTACAATTTTCACAAACTGTTTTAAACTATTGGTACTCATCTTAATGACAATTGGTATCACGACAAACTGGTTTAAAATCATTTTTCTATAACTCGTCATTAACCATCTTAATGACAATTGGTACTTCACCAATAGGAAAACTGGTACCAATAATGACAATTGCAAGAAAACTGGTATCATGAGTATTCTATTAGTAGCACTTCACAAACTGGTTTAAGAAAACTTTTCCCGATAAGTTTTATTGCCAATATTATACATAATGACAATTGTAAATAAAGTGGACTAAGAGTAATTTATGGAAAAGTAAAATAGGATTGAGTGAAAATACATTATAAACAACTTTAACATGCTTGTATATGTGCCTGGTCATTCCATCCTAGAGACGAACATGAGCTGCTTCCAATATATCACCTGTTTTTCTTTTTCCCTGGGTGCATGGGCAATGCATATAATCCTATATGTTTGGGATTATGCGTGATTTGTATCCTATTAGTTTTGTGCCTAAAAAATTAGATAACATAGAACAAACAGGTTTATAGTAAAAAATGAATTATAGTTAATGAATTTACAAGAAAACATAGTAGATCCATGTTCCCCAGGACATGAACACTGCAAAGTAGTTTACCAAACTATCATTCACAGAGGGTAAAGAAATCTGCATATATCATTGAGGTTTAAGAAAAGTTGTCTTTTACTATTTCGTGGTCTTGACTCTGTAAGTTCAATAAAACATGGAATAAGAGGACATATCACTGATCAGTTTCTTGAACTGCCATGGAGAAAAACAGAATTGATATACCTAATTTAGGAAAGAAATCATAACCGAAATCACAAACTGAAAATTAAAAGAACTCAACTCAACTCAACTTACTTTCTAATGTCGATACAGCTGCTGTTGAAATATTTGAACCCTTGTCGCTTGAAACTGTAGGAAATGGAAAATTAGGGCAAATTTAGAAGAAAATGATAGGACTGAAGAACTAAAAGGGAATAGGGTGAATTGAGCAGAACTAACGCTTAGAGTTAGGGTTTTGTATAAATAAATGAGTAAAGACGAAGAAGAAATACCTTTCTGAATGCCCTAATTCAGAAAACTGTGGAGATGAATGAGGAAATTCTGAAGAAATACTCATCTGTGCAAATTTCTGTAAATCTTCGGCTTCGGCGGAGAATGGTAACCGATGAATAGTACTCATCTTTGCAAATTTCTGTAACGCTTCGACTTCGTCGGAGAAGGGGAACCGATGAAATCTTCGGATTCGGCGGAGAGGAAGGCGTAACGGAGATGGGAAATTAAATATCTGTAACGCCTCGGCTTCGTCGGAGAAGGGAAACCGATGAACTTTTCGGCTAATTTGGGAATTTGGGAAGGGGAATTTGGGAAATGGAATTTCTGAAACGCCTCGGCTTCCCAAATTTCCGATGCTGATGAAGATTTTTCTGTAACGATATTAAGGGAGAATTTGAGTATATTTAAATTGGTTGAAGGCTAATTTGGGAATGGGAAAGTTTTTCAGGAACTGGCTCTTTTAAAGGGAGAATAGATATAGTTAAAATTGGGGTGATGTAAAATATTAAATCCGAACTGCTTAGAACTATACCATCCGTCTTATTTACTACAAATTAATGTAGAAGGATCAATCCAATTTTTTTTTTTTAATCAGAACATTGTTAGTGCAGTGAAAATTGGTGAAATTCAACTCTAAATGCAATCATTTCATACAGTATCTGAACAATTCTAGGACCATGATATCCACAGGACAGAAGAAGTTTTGAGAATGAAAAAAAATATCACATTATCATCTGCATGGCCAATTATAGCAGGGCCCCATGAACCCACATAATCAATGTACTCATTACCATCAACATCCCACATACGGGAACCCTTGACAGAGTCAAAAACAATAGGTTGTCCGCCAACTGATTTAAAGGCACGAACAGGTGAATTTACACCACCAGGCATCAACTCCTACAGATTAACATTCTTTTACTATCAATACTATGTGAGGTTTACAAAATAAAACAATTAGATAGCATTTAAGATGCTGAATTTTCTATGGATCATGCAAATCGAGTCAATGACAAATTCTAGGCAGAAATCTTGTTCGAAATAAAATTTGTTAAGGTATGGAAAGTAGAACCCAAAGAAAACAAAGAAAAGCAACACAACATCCGAATAAAAACATGTCACAGATGACAGATGTGCATGCGCATTTGTGTGCACATGAACACACGGGCACCAGGACACGCTCACATATAATTAAGATAAAGGATAATTAAATTCACGTAGGGTAATGGCTAATTAAATTCATGTAGGGTATCTTCTTTTCCAACACATCCTTGATTTTTATTTTCACACACACTTTTCATAATTAAGATGATGTGTTAAAGGTATTTAAGCTTCATGAAAGGCATTTTCTTTTCCAAACACACCCTAACTCACCAACCTTGCTAGAGCATATGAAATGAAGTAGGAAAGCATTTTCCATAATTAACAGCCTTATCTTGCTGAGAACAGTATATGCGAAAGAACTTAAGAATAATTGTTAACCTTTTTCTTTCACTTAAAACTTGTAACTCAGCTATTATGTTATAGAGTATCATGTGGGGACTATTGAGTAATTATACTTTTCAAGTTTTCCACAACAATGTGTAAGCAGGCCAGCACCTCTGTATCCTTGAGTCTTCAAATTATGGAGAGTACCAAAAACAGACGAGATAAGATTTATGTCCTTTCTGATGTTAACGAGGTATTGTCATCTCATTACCGACAATAGAAGATTTAGGAATAGATATTCCCCATATGAATTCCAGAAGGGGCTAACCTGGGTTGTAGAGTGTGAAGGGGAGTGTCAATCGTTAAGTATGAGGAAAAACATGAGTTATCAAAGGGAATATGCAAGTATGACTTAAAAATGTGAGAGAGGTTATAAGAGAAGCTGCAATAGAACTGAAAATATAAATAGTATAGGCAAACTATAAGCCTTTACATCATCCAGTTGGGCTTAATGAATTTGATAAAATATGTTGAGGCTAAAAGATCAATTTGGACCCTGTACTAGGGCTCCATTCTCAAATGGTCTCCCCACTTGATTTTTTCTCTGCTTAGTTTCTGTACCCCTCGTTAGATGTAAACTTAGTCCTATTTTAAGTTTTCATTAATAAACCTGATATATAAAATTTAAATGGACAATTCTACCCTGAACTACTCTTTTCTCAAAAGATAGATTATGATTCATGTTAATTTGCTTAGAAATTTCTCACATCGAATCCAGATAGCTGAAAAGCAAACATATGACCAAGCTAGCCTTAAGTTTTTCATGTAAAAAAACTCGTAATCAATTTTTAGAATATATTTTTCAGCACAGTCTTTACAATCACACCATTCACCCATACTCATTAGAAATCATCAGCCATTACAAAATCATAGAATACTCCAAACTCCGGCAAAAAACTAACTTTCCCTTATATCAGAAGTTATATGCCACATTAGACAGGGAATATAATGTTCTCATTAAATATATTATCATTAGCTTCTGAACTGAAAACGAAACTTATCCTCATTCATAAAGCAGATTAAGGAAATTTCTGAACCCTATCACTAAATCTGTCTATTCAAAATTCTGCTCAAAGTTCGGAACCATCAGAAATATTGAAAACATGCAACCATAAACAGCACGATTTGTACATGACTACTGTCGAGGATGACATGAAAATTTTACAAAGACCACTTACAGGGCAAAATTCTCGGCCTAAATGGGAGTCAATCAGCATTCACATTACAAAAAATAAGAAACAAAAAAGTTCCCTAAATTTCCATGAACCATAATCAATATTTTGATGAAAGAGGAGCTTAGGGTGGAATTGTCTTTTTAATTTTTATTTAACGGACTTTTTTACGGAAACTTAACGTAGGACTAAGTTTACATCTAATAAAGAGTACAAGGATTAAGTTGAGAAAAAATGAAGGTAGGTGACCAATTTGAGAATGAAGCCCTAGTACAGGGACCAGATTGTTCTGTTAGCCAATATGTTGATAGAAAGAGTAATTTAATTTGACATTATTGATTATTTACCTTCTACTCTTTGGTGTATTTCATGCCTCAGAGATGGGTGATATTCCTTACAGAAATCTATCTCCTTATGCTCTCACTGAACTCATCGTTGTCTAGAGAGAGGTTTAGAAGCTTTTTCGGTTGGATGCATGTGCCTACAGTGCACGGCCGATGGGGTAGGCTCTCTAACCCAAGAACCAGCCTTAGATTTCACAAAAGTGTAATCTTTTGACTGCATTTCTCCAAGGAATTGATAGAGGAATAGAGGACTTATTTCTCTTACTTAATTAAATAGACGACACTCAATCAAGATCAACTTCTACACTTTATAAATTAAAATTCAAAGAAGAACAGTCCCAAAATATTTGAGGTTACAATCAATTACAGAAAATGCAAACAAAAGGTTCAGAAATCCAAAGAACTACTAACCAGATTCTTAATATAGAGAAATAGAAGACATACATAAAATTACGCAGCAGCCTCTAGGAATTAAGCTTATATACATGATACCCAGCTCAAGAATGCAACAAACTAACCTCATAATTCACATGATTCAACAAAGCAATACAATGGTTCTCTAGTACCAACATAATGCAGGAGAAGAATGATTGACAGATAAATAAATATATGAATTAATTAATAGCCATATCTCAAAATTGAATCAATTTTTCCTAAACCAAAAAAATACCCAACAAACAATTTCGCTAAATTAAGCAGTATCATTTAAAGGAAATAAGTGAAAGTTAGTACCTTTGCGGCTTCAAAAATTTCCTCAGACTCGGTGAGGGATAAAGATCCCTTCTTTTCTTCAATGGAGATTGCATTCTTGACAACAAAATTGGAGTCCCTGCGATTTGAAGCAGAGGGCTTGTTCGAGACTGGAAGAAGGGAGAGGTTTGGACTCAGCCTGAGACCTGCCATTGCTCTCCCTCAGAAAACTCAGGACTCAGAGAGCCGATAAGAAGAGAACGAGGGTAGATAGATGAAAGAAAACATTTGAAGTCAATCTTGTCAATTACCCCCTTTATTTATTTTTATTTTGGTATCTTTTACAGTACTACATTTGACAATTTATGGTGTGCAACAGTGCAAGTCTTTTCTTTGGAAAGTGGATGGGGTTCGGCTGTAAGAAGAGTATAGATGGGACCACGTGTAAATTTTCAGACAACCCCTCTGAAATTTGGAATCATTTGAGCAACGTGACCATAAATTTTAGAAATTAGATAGAAATTTCCAAAATGTCGAAGTTTTACGAAATCTTCTTGATTTTTGAAATGTTTCATCTATTGAAAAATCATTTACTAGATGCTCTCTCTCAACAAATTCATAAAACAAAATTATTTACTTTTTTTAACTTTCCCCTCACCTTCTTCGTATCAAACAAAGATATGTTTGGCAACCCTTACAACTTTGGGACAGGAGCAAATCAAGCCCCGTTTTATTCTAAACCAGATCATTTTGAACAAAGGGAACATTTGTCCACAAAAAATTAATAATTTAAAGATTAATTTTTTGGCCTATAGAAAACAAGATCAGTCTAGGAAGTTCGGATCTCATCAGAACCTCCTGCACAATGTGAGACATTTTGAGTCATTGATTGAGAAAATAGGGGTCACTCTAGATATTTTCTAGTCCACTGTATGGCACAAAACCCAGGGTGTGGTGCGGAATTCTGATATGATTCGAACTCCAATCTTGGCCCAGTTTTTTTCAAACAATATTTTTCTAAAAATGGGATTTGGATCCGTCTTGGTTTCATTTTGTAGAGTTACCTAGCTTACGCTTAGAACCGAATTTCCCCAAATTTCTATGGAGTAATCTAACATACTCCTTGAACTGAACTTCCCCAAATTGAGATAAACTTTTTTCTAAAGCTGACTAGAGTTTTGTTGAAACTACCAACGTCTTTTTTGGGTTGGGGTCCCTAATTTCAAAAAGTTCAGATCCAATTGTACAATTCAGCACAACCTTTGGGGTTTTGTGAAATGTACCCAATAAAGATCCGGGACCCGCTCTGTTAATGGATCTGCTTCTGGTCTAAATCGCAGACCCAAACCCGACTACTCACAACACCTAAAACGATTGTTCTCCAATGGCGGGAAAATTCACTCCCAATCTCAAAACTCAGAACAAAAGGGAAAAAAAAAAAGGGAGCGAAAACACCTAAAAATTCTATATTTTTGACGTTGAGAGAGATGTCAGCCTTCTCTTTCCCCGAGCGCCCCGTCAGCGAGATCATCGGCGTCCTCGCCGAGGCTGGCATCGCCGATCTCAAGCCCGAAGACCTCTCGAATCCTACCGCCGACGTCATCTTCTCTCTCTACACCAACTTCCTCTCCTACGTCAATCCTCTCGAGTAAGCCCTAAACCCTAACCGTAATGCCCACCGGGACTCTAAACCCTAACCCTAGTTTTCGATTTTTAGGGATTTTCCCGATGGCGAGATTGAGTTTTCTGCGCTGGAGCTACTGGATAACCCTGATCATCATGTGGATTCGATTAGGGTTATTAATCTTTATCGTAAGATTAAGGATATGCTTGCTTCGATTCGGTATATGGATTTCACGCTGAGGGATCTTTTGAGGCCTGAACCGAAGAGGACGGTCCATATTCTTAGTAGCATGGTTAATTTCTTGTTCTACAGGTTAGGGTTGCTGAAATCTAGAGTTTCAGTCCATTTCGTATGCTATAATTCCATTTTAATTCAGGAAGAAGGTGACTTTATACTATGTTCATCAATTTTGTATTTTGCGGATATACTTAACAATTTATTGGTTTACTAGGGAAGAAAAGCTAAGCATGCTGCAGCCGATCGTTGATCAGTTGCCAGGATATGAGAAACGAAGAATGGAGCTCGAAACAAAGATAGCTGAGGTTTTATTATCTCTCGGATATTCTACAGTATTTTTGTTTGTTTGTTGCTGATTTAGTGGATACCAAGAAATGGGGGATGTTGGTTAATGAGGGCTTTGCAGCTGAACAGGGAAATAATGGACCATGAGGTGGCACGGCAGTTGGAGGAGCCTCTAGTGCAAGAGGTGGATGCCGAGGTTAAAAAGTTAAAGCAAGCCATACATAATTTGAACAAGCAGCAAGTTTCTTTGAAAACAGTAGCCAAAGGATTGAAAGGGAAAAGTGATGAAATTGTAGAGAAGGTTTGCTCTTTGATCATTGAAGTATTAGCTTTCTTCTGTGAGCGGAGTGATTCTCCGTATGGATATATGCTTTAGCTTTATATGGTAATTTGATTAGTTTAATACAAATGTTCAGTCAAGAATCTAATTGAATCAAGTTTCTAGAATATGCAAAATGACAAGGTTGAGCATTTTCTATCTCCCGTTATTAAGTATAAATGTAAAATAATAATTTTTTTCCTGGCATCTTAGTTATAAACATGCTTTCCAGATGCCCATTTCCCAAGAGAGAGAGGGACGGAAGGGGGTGGGGGTGATTTAGGAAAGTTCAGAGGAGATTTACCTTCCATTTCGATAGGGGAAAACAAAATAAAACAGTTTGCTAGTTGCATCATTTGAGTTTTATGACTCTTTGACATACATCAGATATTAGAGCAACAATATGTGGAGGTTTCACGTGTGAAAAGTCATCAAGATGTTTGAGTGTTAACTAGTCAATCATGCACCCGTTGTGGATACATCCTCATGGCCAGGACCATGACCATGTATATAATCTTTTCCTGTTTATTTTCTTTTTTCACGGTTGAAAGATCCTTGCTTTGGAAAAGCGTTATGCTGAAACATATTTGGTATATCCTCAAATGTCGAATCTGAAACAGAAACAGAAGACAGCCAAAAACTATACCATGTGTTAATCAGCCATCCTTTTTGACCCCAACAGCCTTTTTTGACGTTTGAGAAATCGGTGGCCGATTTCTTTGAAATGAGAAAAAGGATGTGGGTCTCATAATTATTTATTATTAGTGGCGGGTCTCACTAATAATATTTTATTTGTGCATAGTGTTTCCCAAACACTATAAATAGGGTCCTAAACTCTTAAGGAAAACTCATCCCAGAAAGAACTCCTCTCATAGAAGAGTAAGAGAAAAAACAGAGAGAGAGATTGTGAGAGTTCTTGGAGTGTATCCGATCAAGAGAGAGTGTTCTCTTTGATCTATTCTTTTGGGATATAAAAGAATTTGGCGTCGTCGTTGCACCGTGGAGTAGCTCCGAAGGAGTGAACCACGTATATCTGTGAGTACTGTGTTGAATATTGTGCCTTTATTTTGTGTATTACGTCTCCGTAAGAGGTGTTATTATCGGGGTGTATCCTAACAAATGGTATCAGAGCCTAACTTAGAGTATATATATCTGCTTATCGTATGCTCTGTGGCTGCCACTAAAAGTGGATCCTCCACATCAAAAAATAAGTTAGATTATTATTTACTCTTTTAAGGCATTGAGCACTATTCACGTCTATGGCACTATTCACGAATACGGTACTATTCACGAATATGATACTATTCACAAATACGGGAAAGACGAAATCTTTCGTCATGGGGTCTACAGTTGAAGACAACAAGCTTCGAATTGAGAAGTTCAGTGGTCAAAATTTTAGGTATTAGAGGATGCAAATAGAAGACTATTTGTACCAGAAGGATCTCTTCCTACCCCTCTAAGGAGAGGCGGGGAAACCTGAGAAGATGGACGACGATAAGTGGAAGATGCTCGATCGTAAAGCACTTGTCACCATTAGGCTCAACCTTCACCAGCACGTGACTTACAACGTCTCGCATGCGACCATCACCAAGGAGATGATGGAGGTCCTGGAGGCGCTGTATGAGAAGCCGTCTGCTTCAAATAAGGTGTACCTGATGAAGAAGCTATTCAATCTGAAGATGCAGCAGAGAGCTCGCGTGGCGGACTTTTTGAATGAATTTCAGTCTGTTGTGCAACAGCTTGCTGCAGTGGATCTAAAGTTTGACAACGAGATCCAAGCTCTTCTATTACTTTCTTGTCTACCAAATTCATGGGAGAATATGGTGATGACGGTGAGCAACGCCAATGGTAATGATAAGATGAAGCTCGACATGGTGATTGGGGCAATTCTGAATGAAGAATCTCGTCGTAAAGTCTCAGGAGTTGAGGCCTCTAGCAGTGGGAGTGCTCTAAATGTCGAAGCACGAGGGCGTGCGCAGAAGAAGGGTGGGGGACGACGAGACCAATCAAAATCCAGAGGGAAGCCTAAAGGACCGAACCCAAATGGTTACGGTGAAGGAAAGTGATTCAGGTGTGGAAAAAAGGGTCACTTTGCACGGGACTGCAGATTTTTTGTTCCAGCATCAGCAGGGGATGATCGAGCTAACGGTGCAACCAATCTCATACACGAGACGAATTCAGATGCGCTTCTCCTATCCCTAGAAGACAAAAGCGATGCGTGGGTCATCGACTCTGGCGCATCTTTCCATGCAACCTCACAACAAAAATTGTTTTCATCGTTCGTGAAGAAGGACTTGAGGACAGTTTATCTTGGCGATGATCAACCTTGTAAGGTTTCCGGAAAGGGAAATTGTACCCTCAAGATGGAGGGCGGGACCACTTTGACGTTGAATGACGTTTGACATGTACCGGATCTCAGGTGAAATCTTATATCAGTCGGGCAACTGACTGATTCTGGTTACAGAGTATCCTTCGAGCAAGGAAGCTGGAAGGTGTCTAAGGGTGCCCTGATGGTGGCACACGACAAACGCGAGGGGTCTCTCTACATCGCCAACGGGAAGATCGACCACTTGCTTGTCGTAGGACAAGCATCATCATCATCATCCGTCGACTGCATGACTTGGCATTGACGACTTGGCCACATGAGCGAGAAGGGGATGCAGATTTTGGTCGCGGGAGAGAGGCTTTCGGGTCTGAACAAGATCGATCTGACTTTCTGTGAGGACTGCATCCTAGGCAAACAAAAAAAGGTGAGCTTCAACAAGACCGGACCGGCTCCAAAACTGTAGAAATTAGAGTTGGTGCACACCGACGTGAACAAGACCGGACCGGCTCCAAAACTGTAGAAATTAGAGTTGGTGCACACCGACGTGTGGGGACCTGCGTAAATCCCATCTGTTGGCAACTCTCTTTATTTTATCACTTTTATTGATGATGCTACTAGAAAACTGTGGGTGTTTTTCTTGAAGCACAAGTCAGATGTTTTCATCATCTTCAAGAAGTGGCTTGTCTGTGTAGAGAATAAAATAGGTAATAAGCTGAAGTGTCTAAAATCTGATAATGGAGTCGAGTATTGCAGCCAGGAGTTCGAGAACTTCTGCTCGTCCCGTGGGATTCGGAGACTGAAGACCGTCCTATGCACACCTCAGCACAACGGAGTGGCGGAGCGCATGAATCGTACTATCTTGGAGCGCGCCAGAAGCATGAGGATCCATTCCGGATTGCCCAAGAACTTTTGGGCTGAAGCTGTTAATACTGTTGCATACTTGATCAACCGCGGGCCATCTGCGGCTCTCAGTTATGGGATACCTAAATAGGCTTGGACCGGAAAGAAGCTGAAGCTAGAGCACTTACGAGTATTTGGTTGTGATGCCTATGTCATGACCAATCCTGTAGATCGGTCAAAGCTTGATCTAAAGTCAAAGAAGCTCTCTTTCATTGGCTATGGAGGAGATGAGTATGAGTACTGTTTCTGGGATCACGATGCGCGCAAGGTGGTGCGCAGTCGTGATGTCGTGTTCCATGAGAATGCGGTGTACAAGACCAAAGATGTGAGTGGGAGTCAGCTATCTCCCCCTCTTTTTCCAGATATTACTGACAGTGAGGACGGCGGTGAGATACCTATCAACATAGAAGACGAAGACCAAGAGAACGTACGGGATGCATAGCAGCAGGATCCAGCAGAATTGCCGATCACAATTCGCAAAGTTCCAAGAAATCCAAGGGTACCAGAGAGGTACCTTTCCACCATGAATTATCTTTTCCTAACTGACAGTGGTGAGCCAGAGAGCTATGAGGAGGTACAGCAGACCGGTAAAGCTCGGGGCGAGTGAGAGTCTGTCATGGAGGAAGAAATGAAATCATTGATAAAGAATGGGACTTAAAAAACTCATAAAGCTTTCAAGAGGGGGAAAGAATCTTCACAAGCGGTGGATTTATCAGGTCAAGGATGAAGCCGATGGACGAAGACACTACAGGGCGAGACTTGTAGTGAAGGGCTATGAATAGAAAGCAGGGATAGACTATTATGACGTTTTTACTCCTGTCGTCAAGTTGACCACGATCCGAACTGTGCTGAGTATTGTGACAGTTAGAGATCTCCATCTAGAGCAGATGGATGTGAAGACGCATTCCTTCATGGAGATTTGGAGGAGGAGATCTATATACATCAACCAGTGGTGCCACGTCCCGCTTCCTAAAATACCCGGGAATCGGAACGTGAACAAACCCGCGACGTATTAGATTGAGAAAAAATATACTTTATTTTTTTATCTTATCTTTTCTTCTCAATCCAATACGCTAAGCGTCTGAAAATAAATATAATGCAAAGACACAGGTCCCCGATCATAATAGCAAGAATATAAGGATAATACAAAATAAGAAATAGACATATCATCAATAGTAAATCATCCCAGATATGAAAATATAGGTCCAACATACCCTTATACAAAATGAACAAATGAATACTGAAGAGATACAAAATACATCGTTCAAGCAGGAATGGAAAGAACTACAAAAGTAACTGGAACCATCAACTAATAAATGAAAAGAATTAGGTTTCGACTCCTTCTTCTTACTCCGTCTATAATGCACTCCTGCTGAGAACCCTCTGGTGCTGAACCTGTTCTTCCTCTAAGTCTGACGTACACCAGAGAAAATAGGTGTACGTCAGCGTGTATGGCACACGTCAAGACCCCACAAAACAAATAGAGCAAATGAAAACCTAAGCAAAAAACGATACGGTAACAGAAATGATAAAAAAACGTGCAACGAAAAATCCAACGAAATCAATCAAGATTCAAGTAACAAGTCGATCATGCAGCTAGCGATCAGAAATAATCCAAGTCACAAGGTCATACACAACTAGATGGAATTAATACTTAAAAATCTACAACTCGAGACATAGTACGTCGAGCGAAATAATCCAAATAAGGAAACCCTCATGTATATGCCATATGTTTCGAATTATAAATAATTAAATA